GTGCCGTCGAGTCGGCCCCGACTCATAGTGACCCCTCCTTGGGTTTCCAAGGCAGTATCACTACAGAAGTAGGATTGCCCAACCTTCCTTCCGAGGAGTGCTGGTGGGTTTGAACCGCCAGCCTTCTGGCTAGCAGTCAAGTGCTTTAGCCACTATGCTACCAGAGCTCCTAGCCTTTGAAATGGTTTGTTATTTGCCCATAACAACTAAAGAAAGGACTGATGGTTTGCAGTTCAGTTTATGGCCTATCAGCAAATCCCTTACAGCCCCCTGGAAGCCTTGGACAGTATTCTGAAAATCACTGCTCTTGGCCGACATCAGAAATCTCAGATTAAGGAAACCTAGAAGCTCTGTGTGTCAAATTTTGAAGAATTTAACAACAACAACAAAATTAAGAACCTGTCTCTGTTTCTAAGATGATTAACGGCTAATGATGAAGACCTGTAAAGGCAACTTTTCTAGCCCAGATTCCATAGACTATATGTAGACTTGGTTTTGGGAACTTTAAAAGTAGAGAAAGGTAAGTGAATTTCAGCCTGTATGACACTGTGACCAGAACTAGATGGTGCCTGGCTACCACTGTCAGCCACTCAGAAAGAGATCAAAATAGGAGATAGTGGATAGAGTGGGAGAAAAATGTGGAACAAAACTCAAATTATAAAAAGACCAGGCTTACTGGTCTGATAGAGACTGGTGAAACCTCCAAGATTATGGCCCCTAGGCACCCTTCAGACCTGGCATTGAAATCATGCCAATGGCTTCCAGCCAAACAATAGGCATATAAGGTGAACATTTACACCAGATAGGTACACTCCTTAGAACAATCAACCACGGGATATCAGAAGAGCAGCATTTGCACAGAGAGATAGCTCAGAGGGCAGGATGCATGGGAAAAAAGGACACAGGAAAAAAGGTAGCCACAAGGAGGAAGTGGGAAGAGAGCTGTTACATTGTGGGGATTGCAAGCAATGTCATGAAACAAAATGTGTATGAACTATTGTATGGAAAATGAATTTGCTCTGTAAACTTTCACCCAAATCACAATTTTTAAAAAAAAAGAGAGAAAGAGCATTTCTGTTTTTTAAGTAAAAGAAAAATCCCAGATTAAGACCCAAGGTGTTTAAGGTTTAAGATGGAACTTCACTGTTTCTAATTTTTCATACTCTGCGTAGAATAGAGTTGTTGTTGTTGTTGTTATGTGCCGTCAAGTCAGCCCTGACTCATAGCGACCCCTCCTTGGGTTTCCGAGGCAGTATCACTACAGAAGTAGGATTGCCCAACCTTCCTTCTGAGGAGTGGCTGGTGGGTTTGAACCACCAGCTTTCTGGTTAGCAGTCGAGTGCCTTAGCCACTATGCTACCAGAGAATAGAGTAGCAGTGTACAATTTTGAGCCTAATCGTTTTGTCACCATTTCTCAGTGGGCATGTTGAAACCCAAGGGACGTGTCTTTGTGCTTGCTGACTGCCCTTTGTGGCTCTTTTTCAGACCATGTTTTCTATAAGTTCCAGCCATCTGTGGTTGCTGCAGCCTGTGTCGGGGCCTCTAGGATCTGCCTGCAGCTTTCTCCTTACTGGACCCAAGACCTGCAGAGGATCTCCCACTACTCCCTGGAGCATCTTAGCATGTGCATAGAAATCCTGCTGGTGTGAGTGCCTCTCCTAACCCTGTGTGTTTCTGGAATATTGAGGTTCTCCTTGCTCTTGAAACTTACTTCAGATCACGGATGGTTTCCTGAAGTCAGGGATTTTTGGTGGTTCCCCAGGCAAAAAAGTATCTCACATAAAGTGGACCATATGACTCCTGATAGAACTGGGGTTCAGAGAGTTGGATCCTTTCTATTTCAGGGTAGCTTTAGCTCTGGTAGTGTAGCGCTGAAGGCATTTGACTGCTAGCCAGAAGGTTGGCAGTTCAAACCCACCAGCCACTCCACAGAAGGAAGACTGGGCAATCTACTTCCGTAAAGATTTACCACCTCAGAAACCCAAAGGGGGTTACCATGAGTCAGAATTGACTCGAAGACAGCAAGTTTGGTTTTTATGGTTTAGACTTAGAATTTTAAGGTAGAAAGACTAGGGGAGAAGAGGGCCTATGTGCATGTCCTTCTAAATGTTGGGGTTGTTGTACCTGAGTTCCAGTGTAATTTTATGGATAACCATACTGGGAAACTCTCAAGATGAGGTCCTTTTATTACACATGGCCACAAAACAGACCTCTTAGCCAAAAGTAGCTTAACATAATAGGTTACAGCCTCTTTGCAGGGGTCCCTGTAATTTTGGGGAGGAAATGTTCAGGGTGTCAAAGAAGATGCTCAAAGGCATCATGGGCCTAACACCATTGAATTGATTTTGGAGGCAAAGGAGCTCAGTAGTGACCACATGCAGGTGGGCAGAGAGGACAAAAGAGCACCTACATGGCTACTCAGTTCCTCTTCCACCCAGCAGGGGGCGGCATGTCCCAGAAGCTGGACTCACTGGCCTATGGGGCCCTGAAGTCCTCTCAGCTTCCTTTTGTGGGAAGCTTTGCTGGGGCTGCCTCTATCACAGTCTTCTGAATTGTTGACCCCACTCCCTAGGTCTTGTTTTTAAGTATGTGCTTTTCAGAAGGTACTCAGATTCAGAGAACATGCCTGGTCTGCACCTCTTCTCTGGGGCACCTGCCCTTGTCACACTCTCAGATCCCCTCTTCTCGTGTCTGCTGCAGCCTCTTTTGTGCCTTTCTTACATAACTTCTATTGTTTTGTTTTCCCAAAAAGCTTTAGGGGAACCTTTGTTGGGGATGGAAAAAAATCTGCTCCATCCCCTGCTTTTTTCAGATGCAGAAATTTAAGGCAAAAGGAGAGACTTGCTTGGGATCTGACAGCTAAGGAATGGCCAGGTGGGGATGGAGCTGAGCCTGGAAGTGTCTCAAAGGCAGAAATATGCTTTTTGTGCTCTGTGAGCACCCACTCTGTGCCAGGCACCGAGGAGGCAGTGAAACAAAGAAGACAGGACCCTTCTCTCACAGAACTCACACTCAGTAGTAACCAGGGAGTTACCTTGGTGTTGAGTGCTGAAATAGGGAAGTTCCTGGGTATGGGGATAGCTGAACTAGGCTGGAGGTTTACTAGGGGAAGCAGTATTCAAGCTGAGACCTGAGGTATGAGTTCATCAATGGATGGCTAGAGAAAGACTGTGGGCAGCAAGCACAGCTACACAGGCCCAGTGGTGACACCCACCTCCTTGTATCCCACCCAAAAATGTGTGTGCTAGGCACACTCAGGAGTCTGAGGCTGTGGCCTTTGACCTCCAGCTTTCTCTTGGTCCTTTCCTTTCAGAGCTTATGACAATGTCCTCAAGGATGCCGTTGCAGTCAAGAGCCAGGCCTTGGCCATGGTGCCTGGCACACCTCTGGCCCCCACCCAAGTGCTCTTCCAGCCACCCACCTACCCTACCCTCAGCCAGCCACCAGCAGTCTTGGCCCCGTTCCAGACACCTGTGCAAGACCTGTGCTTGGCCTACCGGGACTCACTACAGGCCCAGCGCCCTGGGAGTTTACTCTCAGGGAACACGGGCTCATCCCTACATGCCTCATACCCTGCCCTTCAGCCCCTGGATGTGTGTCCCATGCCCCTGCCAACATCCCTCAGCATGCAAATGGCCATCACCGCTGAGCCCAGGCATTGCCTCACTGCCACCTATGGGAGCAGCTACTTCAGTGGGAGCCACGTGTTTCCCACAGGCTGTTTTGACAGATAGAGTGCCTTGGGGCCACATGGGAGATCTTGAAGAGCAGAGGAAGAGGACCTCGAAGATGGGAGCTCAATGGAGTGAGGAAATAAGAAGCTTTCCCCTCAGAGCTTCATAGACCTTGGACTTAGAGGGTTTATACCCTTTCTAAATACAACAGACCCAGAGGGAAAAATTCAATGCCATACCTCACCCAAGGGCATTCCTCTGAAAAACATCTTCCACATGCACTGGGGTGCAGGGAGATGGCTTGGTGGCTGTCCCTTTGAGCAGGGTGCCCAGTTAATCATGAAAGGCCTGGCAGGAGGCCAGAACACTGGGAACTAGAAGCTGACCATAGGTTCATAAGTTCACATAAGCAAGTCCAGTTTTAGCATCAGAGACTTCTTTACTCTTTGCTAATGGCAGCTACACCACTGACCAAGGATTGGCAGCCTGGCATGGCCTCAGAATCCCTAATGAATGCTGTGTTGGGCATTCTTTCCCTGACTCCCTCCCTGCCTGTATCTGTGTGTGTTCATACCCGAGCATCTGCCTGCCCAGGCCCTGCGGACAGCTGCCTTGTCCTTGTTGTTGAACCTAAAACCTTACACAACCTTCTAGATATCTCACATGCTGCTGCTTTCCAAAGTGACCTAGCTTTTTTGTTCAGTAAGACATCTTGTTTACATACTGTATCAGGGACTTGATGATACTTGAAAATTCCTTAGGAGAAAAGCATCTTTTGATTGCTACACTGCCTGCGCCACATGAGGATTGAAGGTTTGACCCGTGGGCTCAAACAGAGTTCCCTCTTCAAAAGCGTATGGTTGGAGAGAACCACTTGCCAGGCTCTTGGGTCCAGATGCTTCCAAGTCTTGGAACTTCATTAACCACACGGAGGAGAAAGATTGAAAGGTAGACAAAGTTTAAAACAACAATCCCCACCTCGCCTCTGTCTCCTGCTACAGTAATGAGGAGTTAAACTCATCCTTGATTTTGAGTTTGGAAAATAACGTCAAATGTTTGCTTAAATGCCACCTGGATTTGGGAAGTGGGGATGGACAGGGGTATGTGACACAGCCATTGATATGCAAAAGATTGGGTAGGTGGGAAACCAGTATTGGGGTGTCTGCAGTGCGAGGGTTCTCAGGAAGACTCTTGTAACCATGTGCAATATGTTTTTATTCTGACATGTGGCCTGGGTTTGGTATGTTCTTTTGGTTGGTTGGAAGGGGTCACATTGTTCACCCTTCAGAAGTAAGAGGTGCAGAGGATGATGAAAGCATTTTTTGTATCTCTTTATTATTATTATTTTTTTTTTTTTTTAAGAAGAACATATCTTGTTTTTCTGGACCCATTTGGCAGTCCAGGAGCCTGCGGGAGGGGGACAGCCAAGAAAGTGGCTGTGCACTGCTCAGCTGGATCCGAAGGTGTTATGGTCCCTTCTGCCTGCTGATGAAGTTATTCAGAGCGGATGAAAGCCTAAATGTGGAAGTGGAGTGAGAAAAGAGACTGTGCATTGGAGACAGCGCTGCCACTTTGTCAGACTAGCATAGGAAACTACATGTTTGTTTGTTCTTTTCTTTTTCCTTTGCCAGCCTTCTATTTATGTGCAACTAGTTTGGATTCCTAGTTGTATCTTTCTACTCTGGGCTGGGGGCTGCTGAGCGCCCCCTGCCGCCCCAGTAGAGCCTCGTGGCCAGCCAGGCCCCCAGAGAAAGACATCCCTCAATAAACATATCACCTGTTCTTGTGTCTCTCAGTTTTCTTCTTTGACTTCCCTCAAACTCTCCCTTCCTCCCTGCCTCTCCTAAATCAGCCCTGTTGGGTGTTCTGCTCAGGCTGAGAGGTAGTAGAGGGTGGGTGGCTGGCTGCAAGATTGCCTCCTGTTGAAGATGGATCCTGCCCTCTTGAGTTGAAACTAGTCCTCCCTGAGGATGCAGACGCTAAGCAGTAGGAGTGGGTAAGGGTTAATATCCCAGCTCTACCATTTACTAGCTGCCAGGAGGGCAGCTGACCCAACCTCTCTGAGCCTCCATCTTTCCACCTGTTAAATGGGGATGATAACATGACTTGTCTCATAGGGTCCTCATGAGAATTACATAACGAACATCAAGCCAGAACCTCCACCAAAATAATAATAATAATTACTATATTCCTTCCAGAAGGAAGGTTGAGCAGTCCTACTTCCATAGTGATACTGCCTCGGCAACCCAAGGAGGGGTCGCTATGAGTCGGGGCCGACTTGACAGCACATAACAACAACTACATATTCATTCATACATATGATCTACTATAAGATGCACCATTACTTTGTTACAATAAGGAAAATAAAGCTGCTAATTGAGCTATAACATAGTGCTTAAGATGTGGTTGATTAGAAGTCACATTCTTCAGAAAATGCTAAAACATGAACATGTGTGTACCTTAGAATTGATGGACTGTATTTGTTGTTGGGTCCCTCCATGTTGCTGTAGACTCAGTGACCTCAGGTGACACAGGAGAATTGCTCCATAGGGGTTTCTTGGCTGTGATCTTTGTGGAAGCAGATTGCCCAAGTCTTTTCTCCCACAGAGCCCCTGGGTGGGTTCAAAATGCCAGCCTTTCGGTTAGCAGCTGAGCAGTTAACTATTGACCCACAGGGCTTCTCTGATGGAATATAGCACTAGCTATTAAGAGAAAGGAGCTCTGGTAGCGTAGTACCTAAGGCACTTGACTGCTAACCAGAAGGCTGGTGGTTCACACCTACCAGCCACTCTTCGGAAGGAAGATGGGGCAATCTACTTCCATAGTGATACTGCCTCTGAAGCTCAAGGAGGGGTCGCTATGAATCGTGCAAGACTCGACGGCACATAACAACAACATTACGAGAAGAAGGATATCACGCTTCATAAAGTGGAGAGTCAGTTAAAAGGGGAAAGGCCCTCAACAAGATGGATTAACACAGTGGCTGCAATGATGGGCTCAGGTATACCAAGGATTTTGAAGCTGGTACAGGACTAGGCATCGTTTTGTTCTGTTGTACACAGGGTCACTATGAGTCAAAGTTGGCTTGATGGCACCAAAAACAACGTTACAAGTAAAAAAGGTGTTCTGGTGGTCCAGTGGTTAAAAACATTCAGCTGATAACTGAAAGGTCAGAGGTTCAAACCCACCAGCTGCTCCTGGGGGGAAAGATGAAGCAGTCTGCTAATGTAATGATTTTCAGCCTTGGAAACCCTATGGGACAGTTCCACTCTATCCTATAGGGTCACTGTGAATTGGAATCAATTCAGTGGCAGTGGGTACTATGATTCCTACTCTGCTATGAAGGGAGGTCAGACTTTGGTTGGTCTGCCATCTGCTGACTCAGGTTGCTCCAAGACATCCATCCACAGAGAGCTGGTATCAGCCTGGAGCTGAGAGATATTTGCTAAGTAGGATACCTTCAGTGAAGGTGGGGAGGAGTGAGGAGATGTGCTCAGGGCATGAAGCAGAGGTCCAGACCCAGGAGAGCTGGGGGCAGAACTCAACACTTGCCATGGACAGAGGCCTCTAAAGTTTGGGTTCAGCTACAGGCAAGTCTTGGGTTTGCCAAGACTAATGACTTCACTTGCACAAATCCTTCTCTCTTTGGGCCTCATTTTGAGTTGTTGGATGTTATTGTTTGGTTAGTTTTAATTGTGCTCTGGGTGAAAGTGTACAGAGTACCATAGTTTTTGGTTCAACAGTTCGTATACATTTTCTTTCATGACATTGATCACAATCCCTACAATGTAACAGCTCTCTTCCCACTTCCTCCCTGTGGTTACCTTTTTCCTGCGTCCTTCTGTCTTACGTATTCCTGCCCTCTGAGCTTTCTCTCTGCAAAAATGCTACCCTTCTAATCTCCCATGGTTTATTGTTCTAAAGAACAGACCTACCTAGTATAATTGTTCATTTAGTAGGCCTGTCTGTTGTTTGGGTGTAAGTTAAGCCACGGGAGTGAGTTCAGTTTCAGGCCTGACAGGTGACTAGGAGCCGTGGTCTTGAGAATTTCACTAGTCTCCTCTACTAGACTGGTGATCCTGGACTTTTTAAAAATGATTTTGAATTTTGTTCTACATTTTTCTCCTTGATAGGTGATTTTGACCTTTAGTGGGAAGCTGAAGCCATGGGCTCCTGTCTGTCTTCAACTAGATGGATCCACTTATATTTCTTTCCCACTTGGGCATTCTGTGTAGATTTTCTTACTTCCCATGCTGGGGCTGAGGTGAGGAGAAGGTTGGTTAGGAGAGTTTGAAAAAACACAGAGATAGCCTTAAAGTCCCTTCCAGGGCTGACATTTCCTGGCATCAATTCTCAAACCTTAGCAACCGGCAAAAGGATCCTGGCTTTCTCCAAAAGAGGTGAGCCCCAAAATCTGCATTTTTAACCAGTTCCCAGGTGATCCAATGCACAACTTCTTTGAAGATTCAATGAAGGGTAGAATATATAGGATCTGGTTTCCAGGCTCAAAGGAAAGAATAAGAAAACATCCCAGTCTGAATTCCTGAACATCTGAGTTCTAGGCCTGGATTTGTTCTGTTGTTGTTGTTGTTGTTATGTGCCCTCGAGTCGGACTCAACTCATAGAGACCCCTCCTTGGATTTCCGAGGCAGTATCACTACGGAAGTAGATTACTCTATCTTCCTTCTGAGGAGTGGCTGGTGGGTTTGAACCACCAGCCTTCTGGTTAGCAATCAAGTACCTTAGGCACTACGCTACCAGAGCTCCTGGATTTGTTCTATACTTGCTATTTCTTTGTTCTGTACAATAATTCTTTTACAAGCTTTGGCAAGGGCTGGCACCTTAGATCCATTTCCCTAGGAGAACTTGCTCCCTTCCAGACAGACTCAGCGCTGTGAATGCCCAGATTAAGGTGTTCATGGTCAAACCTCCAGCTCCTCATGCCCTCCAGGTTCAAAGTCCATCTCTCTTCATCTGTTTTTGCCTTCATCTAGAACATTCTCCCTTAACCCTTTGCATGCTGGCTCCTCACACTTTTAAGTGAATGATTCTCAACCAGG